CTTGAATGGCTAAATGTGCAACTTGCCTTTACCACATTGATAGTCTTGGTGGGTAATACAGTCAGCGGATGTGTGTCAAAAATCTGCATTATCAAACTATTCATCGAGGGTCTTGATATGTCCCAAATATCAAACATCAATGAGGATCATTCTCCCAAATATCCCCACCACTTCACGGCCGGACCCCATAGATTATCCACAAACCAACCATATGCCTACTATCCTTGCCACTGACCCAAAACATCCAAAACTGATGGCCTAAGCTACACCAACTATTCCATGAATGAAAACCCCACATGTTTCTTATTGTCCCATATCAAACTTTACCAAAACTGATAAAGTTTTATCTCATCTATTCCAACCATATATGTATATATATAATACCACCATATAATATATATAATTTACCCATTTATATAATAGATATATATATATATATTAAAATAATATACCAACTATCCCAGAGCCCAGTGCCACACCTGTGGGCTTTTGCAAAGTACTGACATCGCTCTTCACCGAGACCGCTTGGCCGTTCTGCACCAGTAGGGTGGTGCCTCCAAATTGGCAATCCGGTGGCGAATCTCTACCAAATAACGGGTGCATGGTTATATATAAATATATACAATAGTAAACAATATAGTATAATATAGTATAATATAGTATAATATAGTATAATATAGTATATTATAGTATACTATAGTATAATATAGTATACATAAATATATGATATATGATATACAGTATATATATATAGAGGTAATATAAGTAAGATACAAGAAAAAGGCAAAAGGCAACGCTATGGCACACATTTAGAGTTTTTCTGAAGAGTTTGTTGTTCGTATTTGCTTCGGCTCGTCATCCATGGATTGGATCTGGTTGGAAATAAACCCAGGAATTGGTGACTTATGCGGTGACATTAAGCAGTTGCCAATCAGATGCAACCGGCTCTAAACCAGCAAAAGGCCCAGGAAAAGACATATGATCCAAGTACTCAATGGATCTCAGTGGGACGCATATCCAAGTAGGGTTCAGGGATTAGGTTTCACGGCTTGGACCGTGGCCGTCTGTGGGAAACCAATCATCCGGACCACTGAAAACAAAATCACAAAACAAACGTGAGCCATTATGGGGGGCGATTCTTGCAATTTGCAATCCTAAACATATCTAAACATCATTTAGAGTGAGGTCATGATGATGCTGTTATAATTTGTCGCGAAAGATGGTGAACTGCTCATCCAGGGGCCTTCAGATAGAAGAACATCAGGAATTCCATCCTCGGGACCGTTTTCAGCCAAGCAATTCTGGATACAAACAGTAAACAGTCACAATAAGATACAATAAGTGTACCCTCTGGTAATTTAACAGAGCTATTGAAAATGGCCATTTATAGTGGATTTACCCATTGAAACTGGAGATTTTCCATAGTTATGTGACAGTTTACCAGAGGGTATCATGGGTCCATGATGGTCCATGGTCCATGTTTGTTTGAACCATACGACGTCCGTGAAGACGAGAACCAGCTGTAGGGAGCTGGGAGAAACGTAGCTCCCTGGATGGCCATAGTCAAGACTCAAGACCCAGTTTCATCATGTTTCATCCACTTTTCAAGCACCCTTCAGAGTAATCAATTCTTGTTGCAATGTATTTCAGCAAACAAAATAAGGTAGCTATAACTGGTTTCTTATCCATGAAATCCAAGTGTTTTGCAGCATTTACATCTGGAATTTATTCCAGCAACCGGTATCTGGCTTGTGGCCAGATAACCGGCCTTGTTTCACAATAAGGTCAAGTCAACTAGGGATCATCGGGATCCCAGCTATGAACATATCTGAAACCAATCAGGTTTTGCCAATTGCTCCAACTGCTCCAAGCATCTCGGTTCAAATCTTCGCCTTTGATGTAGAGATTGGGTGTGCCAGAACCTGAGCTGGCAACTCTTCCAGCACCTATGAAAGCGCTACGACGATCAAAAACAAAACGCAAACTGGCCGTTGGCTAATATCCCCAGATGCCTTGATATATGTCATGCCTATGCAAATGTCTATATATATACATATATATGTGTATGTACATACAAATGTTTTTTTTAATGTATACATACTAGATGTGCCGAGGTGCCAGTCATGTCCAAGCCAACAGTGGCCGTCGGGGTGCCTGCCGTGGTTTATCCCATTGAAAACATCAGGGATTTTGCACGGAGATTACCAGAAAATATGTCAGTTGAGTTTACATATTCGTAGATGGTTCATTCAATATTCGAAGGGCTTACAGAGACTACTAGAAGATACTCAAATGCTGGTAGTCTATATTTGTTGTTGTTTATGTACATCAAAACCACCAAGGATTGCGCACATGGCTGTGACTGTGTCAAAATGAGGGTACTGCAAAATATCATTGAATGTCTGTATGTCCGGGGACTCCCCAATTTTTGGATAAAACATGATAAAACCCTATCACAATGTTGGTTTTGTCCAATTGTATCCCATTTGTAAACCCCACTAGGTATCTCATTAGATAAGATGTAAAAAGAAGGGTCATATCCCAACCCTAAGTATTGTTCTGAAATCCTCAACTGTTTGATGCTTCATTTATGGCATCTTCGGCTGGTGTGAATGGTTACAGTAGATCTCCAATTCTTTCTTGAAATTCAGAAGTGTTCAATGGCAGAATGATCATTTTTCATTTTATGCTTTGACATGCACTGACTGTTTTAACGATTTATACGATTTAACTGTCATGTCAGCAGAAGAATTGACTAAATCCCATACCCTCTGGTAATTTAACGTAGCTATTGAAAATGGCCATTTATAGTGAATTTTCCCATGAAAAATTGTGATTTTCCATAGTTATGTGACAGTTTACCAGAGGGTATGTTCCACAAGTATGACAATAATCAACAGCTATAATCCCCTGTAATGAGTTATCCCCAGTTATCCCCCTGAAAATCACTGCTATCCAACCTCCTGTGGGGGGGATAATGCATCTAACTTATAGCCACAATATGTTCAACCACTAGCCATAATACATATATATATATATGTATATGTATACACGTAATATACACATATAGTCACTATAATCCCCTATGGCCATAAGATATTTATAAGAATCCTATAGTCCCCTATAATCATGATATTTTTGAAAAAAAAACTAATAATAATAAACATATTAATTAATAGCAATAACATATATCATAGTCAATTAATCACCTATGTTCAAGCACTAAAATTCCCGACCTTTCTGCCCCGCCTCCATCACCATCTGCGGAGATCTTCGTCCACGAAGGGCTACTTCTGGGGGCCACGGCCACGCGACTCGGAGTGACCTGGAATAGCGAACAGTTGTGGTTTCAACCAAATGGCACTTTTTTTACAAGCACCGAAGATCGGGGTTGATGGTCTAAGTGAATGTCAAAAACCACTGATGGGTGGTTAGATCCACAGACCCCAATTTTGGGCTAGCAACGGCCAACGGCCGGTTGTAAAAACCTCCAGGTATCAAATAATATATGTTGGACTGTAATATCCAAGTTTGTGTAGGTGACCATTCTATACGCAATGTTTTAATATGTGCCCCTAACCATAAATGTTCAACATCACCACCTGAGTACAGCATATAATGCTTACATCCCTATGCTATTGGATAGTTAAATTCATACGCATTGTATATTTCACTATACTGACTGATTAGATCCTTATTGCAACTTATATTGCCAGCTGAAAATATATATATATATAGATATATATGAGTGGCGGACAAAATTACTTACTACCCGCAATGGACATGGCCAAAGTGGGTGGTCCCCTATCGGCTGTGAAGGTTTGTACTTCCATGCTATGTGCAAAAACTGGGTATCGGTAAATGGGTGGTCCCCTATCGGTTGTGAATGTTTTAGCACAAGTTTGAACATCCCATGTCCACTCCCCACTTCTTTAGTTTTCCGCTAATTTTGTCGGTTACTCATATGTATATACGATCATCCATGTACACGAAATTAAATACACTATATGTATAATACAATTATACAGTTGTAAACATGATTTTCGCTTCATGGTGATGAACACCTTTTTGCTTCCCATGCTCTTTGCATTTCGGGGCCTCTGGTGCAGCATAGCCAGTGGATCCGTCCTGGCTGTGCTCAATTACCTGAGGGTATACCCTCAAGAAGTTGGTCGTTGCCTCGTTGCCTCACAGCCTTTGGTATTTTACCAACAAAGAACTGGCCATTCTGAGATACAAAAATACAAAAAAAAATACAAAAATGAAGATGCTACCATCGGCAGTCCACCGCGAAAAAGGAAAACCACCATTTTTTGATGGGAAACTTACTAGAGTCTACAGATAGATAGATAGATAGATAAGATAGATAGATAGATAGATAGAAAGATAGATAGATAGATAGATTAGATAGATAGATAGATAGATAGATAGATAGATAGATAGATAAGATAAGATAAGATAAGATAAGATAAGATAAGATAAGATAAGATAAGATAAAGATAAGATAAGATAAGATAAGATCAGATAAGATAAGATAAGATAATATAAGATAAGATAAGATAAAGATAAAGATAAGATAAGATAAGATTAGATTAGATTAGATTTAGATTTAGATTTAGATTAGATTAGATTAGATTTAGATTAGATTAGATTAGATTAGAATAGATTAGATTAGATTAGAATAGATTAGAATAGATTAGATTAGATTAGATATAGATAGATAGATAGATAGATAGATAGATAGGTTGGTAGGTAGATAGATAGATAGATAGGATAGATAGACAGACAGACAGATAGATAGATAGATAGATCGATAGGATAAATAGATAGGATAAATAGATAGCATAGGATAAATAGATAGCATAGGATAAATAGATAGCATAGGCTAAATAGATAGGATAGGATAAATAGATAGGATAGGATAAATAGATAGGAAAGGATAGGATAGGATAGGATAGATAGATAGATAAAGATAGATGTAAAAGTATAGATAGATGTAA